ACCTCTTCTCTGAAGCAGCTGCCTATCTTCTGGTGAAACAGCTGCTCTTGAGGAGAGGTGGCTGTAGCAGAAGTGATCTCTGGGACACCTGTCCAGCCAGCCAACAGCTAGCTCTGAGGAAGGACCCCCATCAGAGCCAGACTCTTTGAAGAACCACAAGAGCCATTTTCCCAATGAGGCTTTCTAGAAGACAAAAGGTGGTGACTGGAGAGTCTAAGAGTTGCAGGGAGGGGACCTAGTCTCACTTACCCATGAACCAGCTAGATCCACCAAAGCTAGTGGGATATTGCTGCCTTTCAAGATAGTCTAGAATCATTCATTGGTGCAAAATGAAAATGCCCAGATTCTAGCGGTGATTAGAAGGTCAAAGCACATGCTACAAAGATGGTATGAGTTTCAATGGTTGTTGGTGTCCACAATTTAAGGGTCTGATACTGACTTACAAGCACATAAATGGCTTGAATCAGCTCCCTGAGGGCAAGATGTGTGTGTCCTTGTCTGACCATGTTTTAAAATAAGCCTCAGATGCCCTTGTCATTTTTCTGCTAGTGAGATCAGCTAGGCTGATGGAGAGGAGGGGACTTTTTCAACAGTGGCCTTGCAGTTGCAGAATCTGGCCTGGGCTGGTCATGCGTATGACTCCTACCTTACAGGCCTACAACTGGCATTAATTTCAGGCTGCCTGTTCTTCAAAAAGAAAAAAAATACTGTGATTATAATGGGCTTAGCTAAGGGTTAAATGGTCTTAAAGGCTTAGCTGGTTTAAACTGGCATTATACAGGCACCGTACTCTACTTTTACTGCTCTAGTTAGCATGAAGGTTGATATATATCATATGCTTGCTGTTTTGATTATGATACTGTCTTATTTTTTTCAGAAAAATGCCTTGGGAGAGCATTTATCCTTACAGGTTGCCTAAAAATAGCCTAAGTATTATTACATTGTTATCAATATCAATAATGATCATTAACACTAAGAAGGGGTATCATTCTTCAGTAGGCTCTGATGGTGTTAAAGTCTTGGTTAAATGAATTATTTTCAATGGGAAACACCTGAAGGGGAGAGTTTGTGCTTTGCAAAATACAGTTTTAAAAAGCTCAAAATAAAGATGACACACAATTCAAGGATAAGAGTCAAATGAAATGCTAGACTGTATGCTGATCAGTATGTGTTTGATTCTCTGCCCTATGGATTTCTTATAAGCCTGTCACAACACACACTTTAGATGCTCTACTGCCTGTCAGAAGCAGCCGTGTCTACCCCTGCCTATGTTGTAGAGGCTGTGGGTTTCAAGGCATCATTGCTCTTGAGTGCCTCTTTTCCTTCCCCCGCTTCCCCTGTCCAGGGCTTCTATAGTATCTCTAGGGACAATGCAGGAGCACTGACTATCCTCTTAGTCAGTGCTCAGCTGCAAACTAAGCCACACCTGTCTTAGCTTGACTTTTTAATAAAAAAAAGCACAGAAATCACTTTTAAAGGCTGCTTTGGCACTCCTTTTTGGGGGGCATCTATGAAGTGATCACCAGGGATGTCATGTGAGGGTTGTCCAGTTGCCCAAGAGAAGAGGAGGAGGAGGAGGTCGAGGTCCAGTGCTGAGAACAATCAGGTATGCTCAGTTTTAAAGGTGTTTAAGAATAGCAGCAGCAGCTTTGAGCTGTCACTTGTAGTAAGGAGACCAGGATTTTTAACAGCCCTGGGATTGATGTCTTCAGTGCAGTATGGGCAGACTGGTAAAGGATGGGCAAACTGGAGGTCCGCTGTCCAGATCCAGCAGGCACCCAGTCCAGCATCTAAGCTTCATGCAAACCTGAAGGAGACACATTTTGCGGAAAGGGGGTGTTTTGCCCCTTTTGCAGCATGACCCCCCTCCCCCAGTTTCCTTGGGGAAAGTCTGCTGCCCCAGATGTCTGCCAAGTGTGACAGTGTGCCCATGTTCTTTAAATGGGAAACTTCATACAAAAACTGCTTGCAATAAATGGCAAAGCCAAGGAGATAGCTGAGGTTTTCCAGCAGCTCCCACTCCTCCAAAGAAACCCCTCTGGGCATCCTGTGTGGAAGTTGCAGAAATTGAGGGAATGTTTTCCTAACAGCCTTTTTACAGGTTCTTGGCTTTTGCAGGGTGGTACCCTTGGATTACCCAGACTTGGAAAAGTGAAACAAGCCCAAGGCCACTGCTGCATCCCCTCAACCATCTCAGAGAGTCATGTGCAAAAGGTGATTTTCATTCTCCTGCCTATCTCAGAAAAAAACACGCTTGGCAGGGTACAGCATTCCAATGTGGCATCTACACTTTGCCCATGAGGACAAGTCTATCCCACACTAACCTCTGGCTCCGATAAGCCACTTAAAATGGACAGTTCTTGTGCTCAGTGTAAATCAATAAGTGGCAGCTGCAGGTTATTTGAGGAAGAATCAAGGGTCATTGGGACTCATTGGAACAGCTAAACAACTTAGCAGTGATCTCTAGGGACTGAGCCTTGTAGGGATCCATAAATATTACAAATCTCCACAGAAAAATAGGAAGTTTTTGGATTACTACCGGCCAAGGTCTCCGCTTTTTTCTTCTCTATACAGACCCATGAGGAATTACTCCATAACCAGAGCAGGGAGAGGCACCCCAGCCAAGCTTTGCAGGTGCAGTGACAGTTATCCGATTCAAATAGACTTACAAACCACAAATTATTGGGGTGAGCATACATTCAGAGTTACCCAGTTTTTTAATTTTGCTTGCATGTCTGCTCACCTCAGGCACTGTTGTGTACCAGGTTCAAGTTGCTAGACCTCAGGATTCTATAAAAATTGCTGATCAGACAAAAAGTATATCTTTGAGCAGCTTAAAGTTTCCTCAAGTTTAATTTTAAGTACCTAAGTAAGTAGGGCATCTGTAACACAGCATCATAGGATACCCAAATGCCTTCCAGTTTGGACAGCTATTGTGGCTCACATATGAATATTAAAATCACATTTAAAACATTAAAATAGTTCAGCGGAATATGGAGCTGTAAGATCAAGATGCCTGGTGAGCAAGTGCATTTTCAGAAAGTGTTCGATTCATGCCACATTTTCTTCCTCCTAACCTGCACAAAGGAATATTTTCCAGAGGGTGGGTGTCCCTTAAATCTTAAAGGGTGACTGGGTATATTTAAGGGAAGGAAATATGCTATGCAACCTGAATAGTAACAGACTGGATCCCATTGTTACCCTTATAGAAACCACCTTTCTCAAATGATCTCACATCTTCAAAAGTGTTATTGTGGAATCACATAATTCCTGTCAGCTATATTAACAAAACAGTATTTTATTGCTGCCCAAACTGTATATATTTCAAAGATCACTTAATTTTCTTAAACAGTAAACTTAAATGTTCCTGAACTAAATCTTTAAGCCTATTTAAAAGTTTTGGTGTTTTCTTAATAATCCAATGAATAGTGCTACTATCATTTCAAAACGTTTTCTCCCATTGAGTCAGCATTGTAACATGTACCCAAATGCTTCCAATTGAAAATGGATATATTTTCAATGTTTAGACTCAATTATTTTAGGCTCCATTCATGCTCCACTGGTTTTTTGTTTGTTTGTTTTGCTTTTTGTTGAGTGAGGATATGAAAATTTCAAAATTAGGTTAGTGGCTTCATTGAAACTTAGAAATTTCAGTAAAGCGCTACACTATGTACACTATGCTGAACATCTGAAGAATTGCTTGATTTAGCATTTTGTTTCTGCCTTGCTTAGGAACCTCTAAATATGCCTCTAAATACAGAGGATTTTACTATAAACCAGCAGTTAAAGAAGCTAATGCAGTTATGCAGGAAAGAACTTGTTTCTGGGGATTAGTGTGGTTTTTTTTTTATTTTTTGTTTTTTTGGTTTTGTTTTCCAGCATGCCTTTGTATATCAAACCATGATAATCTCCTCTGCCTCACTGTCTGCTTTTTTTGGTGTCATCATCAGACTAGTATTTTCTTTTCCGGATTAGTGTTGTACTTAACACAGAGAATTGCCCAGAGCAACATATTATAAGATTTCCAGATTATGTGTATGTCTCTGTGATTTGTGTCTGCACTGGACAGGGGGACAAAGATGCATAATTGGTGAAACAATAAACAAACACAGTCCCTGTAGGAGCACAAACCATTCTGTTGGCAGAACTGCTTGTACATTCAAAAGTTCCACAAATTCTACAAATAAGAGGCTCAAATTCCATATTCACTTCTTTGGTTATTGAGAAGGGAATGGTAATTATATTCAGCAGGCCTTACTACCACCAGCGGGATGATGAATTTCTACCTCTCTTGGTAATTCAGGTTTTAATGACCTGTGTCTCTTGGTCTATTGCTGTACCAGAAAGACCAAAGGCACTTATCACCAGTCCCACCTAATTGACATCAATAGTTGTTTTTGGTCCCCCCCCCCCCCGCAATGCTTACTGCTGCAGGAGGGGGAGACAATTTATATCAAAATTATGGCTGGAGAACGAAAACTTGAAATGTCCTCTTTGCACACTGATTCCTGTCTTCACCACACCACCCCAACTATTTAAATGGGGAAAGATCCATATTATTGCTAATCAACTTGCTAATATAACTGTAAACCCTTAAGAAAGCAAGACATTCACAAGATATCCTATTTTTTAATGGAACACCATGACAAAGAACAAGAGAATATAAAATCCATGATCACAAGGCAATTGGAAAAAAAATACCCAGAGGAATTTAACATCGTTCTACTAAAAGCTTGAAGAAGAATTATCTGATTAATAAGTGCAGGATTTTTATCATTACTTTATCAGAACTGCCAGAAATTTGTACTGTATGCCTAGTAAGGTGCCTCTACAAACAAGAATTATGTTGGTCTCCCAATATTACAACTGACAGAGCAAGCAGCCTGTGCTGCCCACAGCATACCAATTTACTGCACGCCTTGCAAGAAAAGCATGTATTTCTGGTACATTATTTTGCACATTAAATATATGTGTATAGAATTTGAAAAGGTTCTACTCACCTTCACAATGCTTTTTAAATCCTGCACATATGTCCGCTCAGTCTCCAGGATCTCTTGGACCACTCTGTCAACATACAAAAGCTTTGGGCTTGTAGGTTCCACAATCAAGGACATGACACAATTCTTGGTAGTCTCCTTTGATTCAGCTTTCCATGGCATACTTGGCCGTCTTCCAACACTTCCATCAGAGGCCTGTTCCTTCATAGGGTTGTTGTTTCTTTGCTCCTTGCTGGAAAATCGTTCAGCTGGGCTCAGTTCTAGTTTTATGGCCCCGGCTTCCTTATCCTGATTGAATAAGCCTAGATGACTGTTTGAAACTAAGGTTGTTCTGCTGCCAAAGGAACAGTGGCTGTCCCTGGAGGATGCAGAGGATGACGTGGAACTGAAGCTGACAGGACGGTCCCTCTCTGACAGTTCCTTGGTCCTGATGCCACAGTAGCGGTAGTGCCTGTCCCCTCGGTGCAAGTCTTCCCCTGTTGTCTTGGGGGTCGTTCCCATCGTCACCGGAGGCAACACATCAAGGGGCAAATGGTAGCTGTCTTTAAGAGGAGAAAAGAAGAAGAAGAACCTGATTGTTTCCAAATGTTGTCATATCATTAGAACTCCCTGAAAACAGAGTTCCTCAAAACTACAGAGAGGCTGTATTTTCACATAACAACAAGCCATGCTGGAAACTATGCAGGCAGGGCTTGTAGCTGCATGTGAATTCAGAATCCACGGTGAAGCATGGCATGTTTCCATGAAACCTCACAAAGAATCAGTGATCTGCTGTAAGGTTTCCATGCTTCACAATTGCTTGTCATTATGTGTGACCCCAGTTATAATGTTTCTGTGCAGTTTTCATATTTCTACCATCAAGTTTGGCAGCAAGAGGAGCTGAGGCTGCCACAAATGCTCCAGCCTCCATTTTTTGGCAGCCCTGTTCTGCCTAGCAACTGCTGAGGCATCTGTGGCCATACTATGATTGACTGTGTTGTACTCCTTATTTTCCCTGCTGCCATATGGATTTCTGATACCCAGTCATGACAACAGGATCTTGCCAGCAATGACCACCATGGAGATAGCACTGGGGTCACTGTGCTGCACTGGTGCTTGTACTGGTGGTTTGACGTGGTCCCATGCTTGGGCCACTGTGGGAACCAGCCTTCTCTTAAGCGGAAGCCACCCTGCTTGCGAGAAACACACAGAGAGCATGTGGGATTTGGAGCCCGTGCCCCCCACTTCACCTCCTGCCTCACTCCAATCTTGTTCCTGACTGTCCTTGAAATGCCACACTGCCACCCCTCCACTGTCCTGACAGCCTGCTGGCAAGCTTTCCTTGGCAGATGCCCAGATGGGCACCCTCAAGAAAGTCTGCCTGGCAAGAACCGCTCCTTCCGTCCGAGGCACGGGTGCCCGCACTGATGCCGTCCCTGCACCCGCTTGCAGTGGAGCAAGTCTTGTGTGCGAGGGAGGGAGGCAAGAGGTGGGTGTGGGGTAGGTGTGCTTGTCCTTGTGCTTGTGCGTGGGCACTGTGCACGGCAGCAGTGGAAAGCACTCCTGCAGTGCTACTCGGGAGCAACAGTGCTAATCTAGTAAGTAGGCAGTTGCTTCACTGAGCAGTGGGGGGGGGAGCAGGGGCAGCTGACTGCAGCTGTGCCCAGGAGAACAAGTACGCCAAGCAAAGTAGACGAGCGCACGCTGGGATTGTTTTTCAATTGCAGGGGCTAATAGGATACATGCTGCCATTTGGAGGGAAGATGGAGTAGCATGGAAAACATGCATGCATAGAAACCCTGAAGCTGTGGGTACGCAGGGCACAAGATGAGATACCTTGCCACATGGCAACCACACAACATTGCTTAGAATTACATGAGAGCACACCCAGAGAAAGCGGGAGAAAGAAACAGAGAAAGCATTGTTGGGTGGCTCTCTACAGGCACTCTAGTGAATGCACCTGGATGCAGATGGGGCTGTAATCAGAATGCTGTCCACCCCAAATATGCTCACTAAAAGCAGGAGCATTTGTAGGTACTCTTGTCACCAGCGGTAGCTGCACTACATAGCTACCTCCCTTTGTCTTAATACATAGTTCTCTTCTAGAACTATTAAATACAGACATTCACATTCTCAATTTACCATAATAAACCTTTTTCCTAAGTCTTTCCCCAGACCATACCCTCCAGGGCTATAATCAAATGCCATTTGATTAAATGTGCTGACCTTCTGGATAAAGAAAGCTTTATAAAGTTTGGGGATGAACTAATAAAAATGTTCATGGGCTAATTTTTGGTCAGCTTGTTGTCATGGCTGTTTCCAGTGCTGTCCACTGTGCATACTGTGTGATGAGCCCTGGCAGCTTCTAAGCAAGGGATGGGTTGCTGTGTGGTCTAAACCCAGTGCAGACTCTCTGGCTTGCCTCAGAAAACCCTAATGCTATATGCTAGCATGGCTTATTGTGTGATGTGAACCCCAGCTTTTGAGACTAGGGCTCCTCTATAAAGGGCATGTATTGTGCACTCATGACCCCTCCGCTACTGAAGACTGAAGGACCTTTCCATGGCACTGCTATCCTTCATGGGCTCTCCTGAGTTTCCCAGCTTTTTCTGCAGGGTTTTTTTTTACAATGAAGAAAATCTGGTATTAAACTTTAAGCCATTGCAAACCTGAGCAAAAGCTGCATGAAAAGAAAATCCACTACAGTGCCGCTATGCTACAGAGCCAATGCACGGCCAGTTAAGAGAAAGGACGAGAAATACAAAGACCCAGAAAAAGCCTTGTGCAAATATCCATTTTTCTTCACAACAAAAGCAGAAGCTTTTGTCCTGCAGCATATTAAACCCCTCAAGTAGAACAGCCCTGAATGTAGTTAAGGAAGTAATCAGCTTTATGTTTTATTTTCTCCCTTCTCTGATACAAGGATCATGAGTCTTTTTACATAAGATTTGCCCTGCCATACAATTTTTGAATATACTTTTATTTTATATTATATTTGTAAACTTACTACAGGGCTGTTTTAACATGGTAATGTAAGAATACCTAGAATAAAACTATGCATGCCTGTGTATAACAATTCATAAAGTTCATTCAAGCTGCTAATCACCCAAAAATTATTTAAAAAAATAGTGGATCCAAACTGTTTCTTTGATGAAGTAGCAAAAAAGGTTGTTACTGTTTCTGTTAAATATGTATATGTTATTATCAGTATTAAAGCCTACTAAAGCCAGAAAAACGCTCTTCAGAATTAGACTGGCTTGGAACTGGATAAATAAGATAAATGGAAACCCTTCCGCTCATTTATCACAAGATGTATAGCTAAAAATCTGTGACAAAGGATACCTGATTAGCTGTCTTAGCTGAAGCATAAAGAGTTCCTGTTTCATTCAAATCACTTTGCAGTCTTTCTTCCTGTTTAACTGATATGTTGTCTAACTTGCAGATAACCTGAATGCACTAGTAAGTCATGTTTGCTTTGCTAAGACTGCACAGTTCAGTAATAGAATGTCAACAAAAGGAATCTTTACTATTCTGAGAGAATACATTGGGGCTTACAAACAAAAATCTAAGGCCTCTTCTAAGATTCCACAATGTATTACTGTTCAACTGTTTCATCCCTTTATAAAATGATTACAGTTAGCTGTAAGAACTGGTGTTAAAAACCTTCATAAACAGAGACTTTAGCAAGAGAAGAGTTTAGAACTAAGCAAGCATGCAGCACAAATCAAGGGATTCGAATATTGAAAATTCTTTGTCTGAAGCCTAACAGTAACTGTGCAAATGTTAATTAATGTGTGCTCTCCTCCCCTACTCTTGTTCTGCTCATTTTCATACAGACTTCTGAACAGAGCTTAGGTATACAGGTTGCACCAAAAGAGGAAAAAATAATACAGAGAGAGCTTAAATGTGTGTACACCTGTACACATGTAAATGTGTTCAGAACATCACCCTGACATGCAACATTATGAGTGGGCGCTAGAAGCTAAAACACTGTTCTTCCTCTTACCTGGGGTAATTTCTGAATCTCCCCACTAATTCTGAAAGGTATAGCTGTAGAGGGAGGAAATGCTATTGCCAAAACATACTTCCCCACATTAGTATTACATTAAAATGCATATCCATCTTTTTCTTCTGGCGAGGAACCCCAAGCAACTTGAATGTTCTCTCCTCTATTTTATCCTCACAATCTGGCAGGTAGGTTAGGCTGAGATTCAGCGACTGTGATCTTCTAGAACCCAGATCTTCTGAGGCCTGATGCCACTGTTATCTCTACACCATAGTGACTCTCTAGTTATAAAGTCTGTAGTAACACAGAAGTTAGCATAGCTCAGGCTGGTTGTCTATTTATCCCCATACTGGCTGACAGCATCTCCAACACAGGTCTTTTCTGAGCATTTGAATTTTTAAAACTGGGCATGCCAGAGACTAAACCCGGAGCCTTCAACATACCACAGAGCTATAGTTCTTTATCACTGAATTATGGTCCTATCTTTTGTCCAAGCTTACAGGATTTTTGACCAGACCTAGTGAGGCCCAGAACAATGAAAACAAACAATCCTCAAATTCCATAGCAGACCTGGCTCAGCTGGACATCCAGATTTGTTGCTAAATGCTGTGCTTTTCCAGAACACATAGCCTATTTTTGTTTGCACAAACATATTTTAGTATAATAGTAACTGAAGCCAAGCATGAACTTTAGGGGAGCTTTAATCCCAGAAGATGATCACATTTATAAGAACTAATAAGATTCCTGAGATCCCTTCAAGTTCTGTAATCCTGTGATGCAGACTTCTGCAGAAATCATAATTAGGTGGTAGTACACCAAAGGGCAGTTATGTTGCATTCTTCTCACTTAGTAGCATTTCCTTTTCCCAAATCTTGTCGTCTTGTTCCGTATCAGTGGTGCAAATCTAACTAAATGATTTAAAGGTGAGGTAAATTTCACAGTAATTACTATTTTGGGCTGTAGGTCTGCGTTGCCTATCACATCTATTTCCACCCTTATATTCCGGAAAACAAAGCAATGCCATCTCTACGCAACTGGCAGGAGTTGGTTTGGTTGGTGCAAGCTAGGCACTGGGAAGAAGACCAATTAGAAGTTTATCAGCACTAGCAAGGAAATGTGTTTCTTCCGTGTTCATACCTTGCACAAGTGTAGTTATAGTCTCCACCCTGTCTGGTATACTCACTATGCATCTACATACTTCTTATGGTATTCCAACAAGAGGTTTTAACATGCACATAAAAATGTAGAGATTGTGTTACAGTGTACAGCTGGGAAATGCACTCTTCCCACACCCGCGGACAATTGTAAAGCTAGGAAACTTATCTCTCAAGATCACATGTAAACAAAAGAACATTTCCATGTAATATTAATTTACACTGAGTCTTGATATCAAATCTTACATTCTGCTTTCTGCCGTTCACCATGACTTAAAACACTGTTGACACCTTTAATAGTTATTTTACAAAAGTCACTGCAAAGTTCTTTTATTTCTCATGATTTTAAGAGTCAAAGAGGTGCAGTTTGAGGAAGCAAACCAAGAATTCAGACTTGATGCCC